CCTATATGTCTACCCATGTAACCACACACATATTTTATTGGTTATTGTTGTTATTGCAAAATTATATGGTATTTACCAAAAGTGTCCCTTATTCTTAAATACTTCTTTGTGTCTTAACTTCACATGTACAGATTTCACCCATATTGGATGCTGCTTTTCCCACCACCAAGTAACAAGTGTCTACGATCTACAGTCCCTGCCTCTCCCTGGTAACCACCAAAGACTGTTGCTTCCTATGTGTTACAAGAGTGAGACCATACAATATTTATCCTTGGTGATTGACTTATTTCACTCAGCACAATGTTCTCCAGATTCACCCGTGGAAGACTCCTCATTACTCTTTATAGTTTCATAGTATTCCATTTTACGCATGTACAATTTGTTTAACCATTCATCCATTAACGGGCACTTAGGTTGTTTCTTCATGCTTTGTAAATAATGCTGTGATGAACAATGCAGTACATATGTGTCTGAGTGTCACTGCCCTTTTAACTATATACATGTAGGAGTAGGACTGCTGGATCCTAATGGATAAAATTATGGTGTTGGCAAAGAATATTGAAAGTACCATTAGAGTGTCATGAATTATTTCTTGCCTCTTCTAGCCATAGTCTTTGTAAACTCCCACCAAATGACTTTTCTCTGATAAGCCTGGGTAAGAAGGTGGGTGAAGGTGCTGATAGATTACATGAGTCAGTTGGGAGTGATTGTTAATAGGACTAATTGTGACTGGTCGATTTTGCCATCCTACTGGACTCCTGGTGTGGTGCTGCAGAATCAGCACTGGACTGCAAACTCTAAGGTAGGCAGTTCAAACCCACCTGGGAAAGTCTATACAGTGTCACTATGAGTTAGAACTGACTCAACAGCACTTCACAACAGCAACAGCACAAGAACTGGTTATAAAATGAGCTCTCTCAAAAGCAGGAGGGAATGGGGAAGATCTCACTACCATCAAAGAAGAACTAGGAGTGGAGTGCATCCTTTGGGCCCCAAGATCCCTACACACTGAACTTCCTTGACTCAGGGGTAACTGGAGGAGTGGCAGAGGAGAAACAGCAGCAGCAGAACCAGGAGCCAGCCCACCGCAGAGCAAGCAGGACACTCAGTGACTCTGGGCAGGAGGTTTGCTTCCAGAATAGCGTGCCTGTAGGCACTTAACTGGAAGAGCTACGTTTGCTGACTCATGGAGCAAGAGCTGAGTCTTTAGGCTGAGGCTTATGGTGGAATGGTGTGCTTTTAGGCATTTATCAGCAGCCCTAAAAGAGCTCTGTAACATTGGCCAGGCAGAGGGAGGCCTGCCTGTGGGCACGGCTATAACAACTATGTCCTGAGCATTCCAGGCCCTGAGATGTAACCTGCTATCTTCCCTAATAAACCCCATAACTGTGAGTGTGGCGTCTGAGTTCTGTGTGGCCACCGTAATGAATTATTGAACCCAGATGAGAAGCAGAGTGCACCATGGGATGGATGGTTGTTGCCACATTTTTTGCAACCAGGGACTGCCAGAAGAACAAACAAATTTGTCTTGGAAGTACAGCCAGAATGCCCCTTAGAACCAAGGATGAAGAAACTTGATCTCACATACTTTGGAAATGTAGTCATATGGACCAGTTCCTGGAAAACAACATTATGCTTGATAAAGTAGAGAGTCAGCGGAAAAGAAGAAGACTCCCAACAAGACGGACTGACACAATGGCTGCAATGATGGCTCACACTAAACACTTGTGGGGAAAGTGAAGGACCAGGGTTCATGCTATTGTGCCTAAAATCGCTGAGTTGGAGCTGACTCCACGGCACCTAACAACAAGAACAAGGTAGAAAAGCTACTTCTAGCTTTCTGAGGAAGCATCATACTATTTTCTGTAATGGCACAGGCCTCTTGTTTCAGAGTCATGTAGCCTTTTCTAAATTAAAACAATGTTAACCCATCACTATACGAGCATTGTTGCTGTTGTTAAGTGCCATCGAGTCAATTCTGACCCATAGTGACCCTGTATAGGGTTTCCAAGGAGAAGCTGGTGAGCTTGAACTACCAACCTTGCAGTTCAAACGACTTTGCAGTCTGATACATTGGTCCATAGCGCCACATAGCCTAAATGTAACCAGCCCAGTATCATGTAAGATACACTTTGTAGCATCTCATCCCCAAAAATTACAGCATAAAACAATAAACATAGTTGCAACTTATAGTTACTAGAAGCCAAGAATAAATACAAATAACCTAAATTAATTTTTTGATTAAACACTGGCTTAAATGTCTAGGAAGAAAAACAAAACAAACTATAGTACTGGTAATCTCCTAAACCAGATTGTTTTACATTAGTATAAGCTGCACCAGTGGGACCCCTGGCTCCCTGGAGGTGCTTTGTTGTTGTTGTTAAGTGCCGTTGAGTCAGTTCTGACTCACAGTGACCCTATATAAGGTTTCTGAGGAGCAGCTGGTGGATTTGAATCATCAACCTTGTGGTTAGCAGTCCATTGCTTATCCTACGGTGTCACACCAGGACTCCTGAAGGTACTTTAGAGTTCTATAACTGTTTGACTTGCATCCCATTTTCAAAATATTCTTTATGGTTAAGAAGTTGAAATGAAAAACAGCATGCATACTGAAAAGTGTTTTAAACCAAATATAAACATATCAGTTAAGCTGCCAGGCCACTTTGATTCTATGCAGGCCTTGGAATAAAGCTTCTCCTGCCAGCTCTTTCCATGTATCTGAAATTCTGTAACATGTCACTGATTAGGAAGTCTGCAGCTCTGCACAGACTTTTTTTTTCTCTCTTTTTAACTTTTCATTATGAACTGGGTGAAGGTTTACAGAGCAAATTATCACATTCAACAATTCATACACATTTTGTTTTGTCTCAAAGCCTGCAGTCTCCCCAATGCAACATCACTTATCCCACTTCCTCCCTGTGTTTTCTGTTTCCATTCTTCCTTCTTTCCTAACCCTTCTGAGCATTGTCCTTAGGTAAATGCTGTCCTTTTGATCTCAATGGTTTATTATTCTAAAATGTATGTACATCACTTCTGTTATTGTTCCCTTAATATAGACCTGTATATTGTTTGACTGAAAATTGAGTCATGGGAGTAAATTCATTTCTAGACCTAAAAGGGTGACTAAGGACCATAGTCTCTGGGTTCTACCAGTCTCTATCTGACCAATAAGCCTGGTCTTTTTCTATGACTATGAGTTACGTTCCACATTTTCTCCCATTCTATTAAGGACCTTCTAGTGTGATCCCTTTCAGAGCAGTTGGTTGTTTGCACTGAACTTTTAAACTCAGGTTTGCACATGACTGCTCATGTAAAATTATACCTAGTGAAGATAGGATTCTTTTGATTCAATAGTGAGTAACTGGTATCATGATTAATTGCAAGTGTCACAACTGTAAAGGTAGAAAATGTGAAACAAAAAGGGGAGAGGGCAGTTAATCTTTCATTACAGGAACTGAGGACCCTAGGACCATAAGTGGGAAGAACATGAACACAGGATGTGGGATCCTAACCAGAAAAGTGGTGATGGTATAGAGAGATACAGCAGCTGAGGACTCTAGACCCATGGACTGAGAAAGGCTGTGTGTGCCTGCAGGCAGGAGGAAACGTGCCCTTTGGTCATTTAAATATGTATTTTCTGTACATCAAAAAAAAAAAAAGGGAATAAGGTAAATACTGTTAATTGATGGTACATGCAGGGGATCAAAATCATTGCAAAGAAATGCAAAATATGATTGGTTGAGTATAAAACTGATGATCTTCCCTCATTGCAATAAAAGCTTTAAAAAAAAATTACAACTAGGAATAGAGGTTATCTGTGGAAAACAGTACTTTCTCAATACTATGCAATTAAAATAAAACAGAAGAAATAAATTCCAGCTATTTTATGAATATAGTCACATCCACCATCTAATACCAGATTTAACAACTTTAATGTCCTTAATTTAGAAGAAATTTGAGCTTAAGTAAACAAATGCATACTAATAAAATATCACTTATATGTGATTTGTTTTTTCAACGTATAGAGAAAAAAGTTCAATTATTAAAAACAGAAAAATCACAGTGAGGTAATAAATTCACAAATTTTGAACTTTTTCAACACAGCAACAATCAGTAGGGCCAAACGACTCTAAAATCTCTTAATGGCCAATGTTTCTACATGAATACAAAGTTTACAGTACTTTCATAAAGCAGTCACATAAACTCTAAACTTGATTTTGAAAATCTGAAAAATGTCCTCAGTTAATTGTTTGTTTTACTTCCAGTTAATATTTAGATGATACCTATATTGTCGATTTTCCAAGCACCCATCTGCAGGCTGGCTTTGTTCTCAAATTCCCAAATTAATAAAAAAGAAAAAGTCATATTTCAATTAAACCACTTATTAAAATTGCTCACATTTAGTAGAATACCTGTCACATTTATTAAGATACATATACAAGGAGTGGTTGGTTCTTGAAGAAGGTTAAAAAGAAAGATTAAAGTATTATAAAATTATAACATTAAAATTAAAAAATGCATAATAGCCATCTTAGGTAGACTTTGCTAGAACATTCAATAAACATAAGGCATAAGGCATTCTTCCCCAAACTTCTCCACTGAAATAATCACTAACAACACAATAACCATGGATCTTTATATGCTGCTATTGCTGGCTTCAACAAACCAGACAGACAATGCAAAATGTCTTTGTAATAATTTCTCTGAAAGGTTCTTGTGTATTTTGTGTTGTATTTCATAATGTTCTTTATGTTAAACATTTTTAAAATGCTATCCCTCTAAAAATTCCTGAGTAAAACCAGAACTCCAGGAAAATGCACCATTTTCATTCCAAGGGTTAGATAGCTCTTTGACATAATCCAGTAGTCAGAAATACCCATTACAAAAGGCCTGGACTAAAATCAGGGCACTTTACTGTATTTCTAGCTGCAGCAGTCAGAACACAGTTCCTTCAATCTAGTCAAAAGCAGAGTTTATTCTTCTTTGAGTAAATGACTTACATTTTCATGCTTCATATGTTTAAGTAACCGTAGTTCTCTATAGGTCCTTTTGGCATGAATGATGGACTGAAATGGTCTGGAGAGCTTCTTCACTGCCACACGTAACCCAGATTTTGTGTCAAAAGCAGCACTAAGGAAGAGAAAGAAAAAAAAAGGAGTCATCATTAAAACGGCTCTCTGTAATTTTGAGTATTTACAAGGCTATCACATTTCTAAAGTAAATGTGTAGCACAGTGGATTACAAGTTGCACTGCTAACCACAGGTCAGCAGTTTGAATCTACCAGCCACTCTGAGGGAGAAAGACGAGGCTTTCTGCTCCCCAAAAGATTTACACTTTCAGAAACCCTATACAGGGTTGCTATGAGTAGGAACTGACTTCACAGCACACAACCATCACCACCATAACAAAATATGGGAGTCCTGGTGTGGTGCTGTAGGATCAACACTGAGCTGCTAACCACAAGGTTCGTGGTTCAAACCCACCAGTCACTCCTTAGAAACCCTACATTTACACGATTGCTATGAGTTAGAAGTGACTCCCGGGCACACCACCTCCACCGCCACCATAACAAAATATGGGAGTTCTAGTGTGGCATTTTAGTATCAGCACTGGACTGCTAACCACAAAGTTGGTGGTTCAAACCCACCAGTCACTCCTTGGAAACTCTATACAGGGTTGCTATGAGTCAGAACTGACTCAACAGGCACTTAACAGCAGTAACAAAATACAATAGTTTAAAGTAAAAACTAAAATGGCCTATAATCCCACTATCCAAACAAAGCTGTATTCATTCTTTCTGGTGATTTTTTTTTTTTTTTTAATGCATCTAAATCAGGGGCCCACTGACTTCTTTCACATGATGACAGATAAGAAATATTTTAGACTTTGCAACATACAGGGTTTTTCTGTTACAACTACTTAGCTCTGAGGTTGGAGTCGGAAAGTAGCTTTAGATAAAAAAGTAAACAAAATGGGTATCACTGTCTTTTAATAAAACTTTGTTGTTGTTGTTGTTGTGTGCCATCGAGTCGGTTCCGACCCATAGTGACCCTGTATAGGGTTTCCGAGGGTGTAAATCTTTACGGGAGTAGAAAGCCTCATCTTTCTCCCGCGGAGCAGCTGGTAGTTTCGAACCGCTGACCTTAAGGTTCGCAGCCCGATTCGTAACCACTATGCTACCAGAGCTCCTTAATAAAACTTAATTTACAAAAAAAAAAAAAAAAAAAAAGCAGCTGCCTGATCTAAATAAGCCAATGGGCTGTACCATGGATTTTGTCTGTCTTCTCTGCCTAGGTCTCATTCATTGTCACTTTGCCACCACATGCTACTTAATTAGAGCACAGGCCTCAGAAGCCACCGATAATTCATCAGTACCCACAAAGTATTTGACACTTTTTTAGAGTTTGAGATGTAGTAGGGCACAAGTAACAAATCCCTAGACTCAAGGAGCTTAGAATCTAATGGGCAAAGGGAACGAAAGCAGAATAATAAAATAATTTCAAACAGTGATGAATACTGGGACTAACTAAAACTTGGTAATGGCATAGAGACAGAAAGTCAGTGGAGTTGTCTTAGAATGGAATGTTGCGAAAGCAGCAACCATATGAAGATACAGGGAAAAGGAGCTTCAAGCAGAAGAACTAACAGAAATACTAACATTGATTGTTAACCACATAATAGGCATTTTTCATGACTTTTCTTATAGCTTTTTTTCTTATACCTCTTTTAATCATCTTAGCACATCGATGGAGTCTTGGTGTGGCACTGTAGGATCAGCACTGGACTGCTAACCACAAGGGTGGCGGTTCAAACCCACCAGCTGCTGCTTGGACACCCTATACAGGGTTGCTATGAGTCAGACCTGACTCGACAGCACTTAACAACAGTACATTTATGCAGTAAATGCTCCTATTTCCAAATAAGAAAACTAAAGTACCAGAACCGAAGCTAACCCACTGAGTTGATTCTGACTCATAGGAACTCTATAGGGCAGTACAGAACTGCCCCACAGGGACTCCAAGGCTGTCCTTCCTTACAGAAGCAGACTGCCACACCGTTCTCCTGGAAAGCAGCTGCTGGGTTTGACCTTTCAGTTAGCAGCCAAGCATTTTTAACCATGGTGTCACCAGCGCTCCACACATGAAGTACCAAAAATGCAAAACCACCCAAATCTACTGCCATCAAGTAAATTCTGACTCATAGTGACTCTGTATAGGGTTTCCAATACTGTAAATCTTTATAGGAGCCTTATCTTTCTCTCATGGGCAGCAGGTAGGTTTGAACCACTGACCTTGTGGTTAGCAGCCCAATGCCCAACCCACAGCATCATCAGGGTTCCTTAACAATAACTTGCTCATGATAGCAAAGGCAGAAAGTGGTAGGAAGTGAAGTCTGGGTCCAGAACCCATGCCATCAATCATTTTGCTATGCTGCCTGTCAAAATAGCAAGTGCTGTCAAACAAAAAACAACCAAACAAACAGATAAAGTATGGTATGCTGGAATGATGGAAAAAGAAAGGCAGCCTGTGTAGGTGGAGTGCAGGGAGCAAGGAGAAGAGCAGACAGGGATGAAGAGGTCTGAGACGTGGGCAAAGGCCTTATCACGTAGAACTATCCGTGGGAAGAAATTTGATGTGAATAAAGATATTCATTATTTTTAAGGACCATCCAGGCTAATTTCATCATGTCTCATCCTCTTATTTATTTCAGTCTCAAATGGGCATCCAAGACAATCTGAAAATCTATAATCACCAAAGACTCCTCCTGGGTGACGTAAGTGGTTTATGCTCCACTGCTCATCTGAAAGGTTGGCAGTCCTAACCCACCCAGTGGTACCATGGTGAAAAGCCTTAGTGATCTGCTTTTGCAAAGACTACACACAAGAAAACCCTATGGAGCTAGCTCAGTTTTACTCTGCAATATACGGGTTGCCAAGAGTCAGAATTGACTTGATGGAAATAAGGTTATTTTTGTTTTCAATATTATCACCAAACTCTCAGCCCCATCAACTCTGCAATTGGTCCAGTGCCTTCTCGTCTCTCCTAAACCATTATGCTTCACTCTTTAACTCCATTTGTGATAATCAAATTCTGTAAAATCTTCAACTTTTCTAAAAGGTCCCCCTCTCTGCTTTAGTTACTAGGTCATACCCTAAAGACACTACTTCTCTTAGCCCTGCAATTGGAGGAGGGTATTTTCTCTCAGAAATGTGACATGGCGCTACAGGATAATGCACTGGACCACAAGGTCAGTTTGAACAGCACGTCGGCAGTTCAAACTTACCAGTTGTTCCTTGGAAACTCTTCACAGGGTTACCAGTAGGAACTGACGCAAAGGCACTTAACAACAACAACATATGAGGCTAGCAAGTGAACTAGCCAATTAGTACCACTTCCAGACCATTATCCCCCCTTTGTTTTTACAAAACTTCCTGCTCACAACCATGATAAACCATTCCTTCCTCTCTTGTTGCTGTTGTTATCTACTGACATGGAATTTTCCGTCATTCACTGAAAAGTTAGTTTCTATCTCAAAGTCTCTCTCCACTTCCAGCATCATTCTTGGCAACGTCAACATCCAGGTGGAGGGCACATCCAACATCCTGGCCTTTCAGTTTCCTGACCTCATGAGGAAACTCCACCTTGTCTAGTCACTCCCACACTCACAGCCTAGGCCTCTATCACCACCAAAACCTGCCCCACCTACTGAACTCTGAAAGCCAGGGCTGGCTTTGCATTACAGCCTCCTCCACCTTCTAGTTTACCTGCTCACCGGCCCTGGCCACAATTCATTGACTTCATCATCACTGCTTGCTGCTATCCATCAGTCCTCTTACATATCTTCACTTCCCTTCTTGCCTGGATTTAGGGATTAGAGAACATGCTCCAAGATTATAATCAGTCTCTTGTACTTCTCTCTCTGATGTAGTTAACTGGCTAAAGTTTAACCTTGGATGAGCTCACTCACTCACCTTCTCCATTCCTACATTCAAGAAGCTAACTGTGGCTGAAGAAAAATAGAATGTACAATCAGATAGATTGGCCTCATTTTCATTTCTGACCTTAACCTCAAATAAACTCTCAATCCCGTCACATGTTCTGGTATGCTCACTTTCCTACTCCAAGGTGATTATTTTGACACCTTGTCTCTTCCTCAAACTTACCCTCTTCCCTCAGGATTCATCTTTGTCTTCATTCAGAAAACAAAAGACATCAGAGGAGAGATTCATCTGTCTATCAATAAATTTGTAAACCTCTCTGTACTAAGATCCCATCTTCCCTCTTACTATACAACCAAGGGCTCATGCCCTTCTTATCAAAAGCCCAGACCTTAATATATGCTTTGGAAACATCCCCCTCATCTTCTCAAGAGCTTTACTCATTCCTTTCCCCTCTATTCCTTTCATCCACATAAGTATCTTATGGTTATTTCCTGTTGTCAATGAAAAGCAAAAAAAGACACAACCAACTTCCCTGTTAAGGTTCCCCCATCACAGTTAAAGTTCCCCAATAAATTATTTAACCCAGTGGTTCTCAAAATGTGATTCCAGATTTCAGTGTCACTTGGGAACTTAGGAGAAACACAAATTCCAAGGTCCCACTTAGGAGCTCTGGTAGCATAGTGGTTACGAATTGGGCTGCTTACCTCAGGGTCAGCAGTCAAAACTACCAACCAGTCCTCGAGAGAAAGAGGACTTTCTGCTCCCATAAAGACTTACAGCCTCAGAAACTATGTGTTGGAACCGACTCCAAGGCACACCACCACCAACCACCACCACCATCATCTAAGACTGACTGAATCAGAAACTTTGATGTGGGCCCAACAATCTGTATTTAATCATGCTCACCAGGTAATTCTGACACATACTAAAGTTTAAAAACCACTGTGACTCAAGGCTCTAAAGACCAGCATCACTGACATTATCTAGGAGCTTTTTAGCAATGCAGACTCTCAGGCGCTAAAGTAACATACACTGTTGAGAAGACTTACATGTGAATCATATACATTCTACGGTTTGAGAAGCATTCATTTTCCATTCTTTCCTCAATCTTTTCCACTAAGACTCTTCTTTTCAGGGCCATTAAGGACTTTTGTTACCAACTACAATGGCCATTTTCATAGATGGGCA